GTTAAATTTGACATTATGTGTTTTTCAGTTTTTTGTTTTACAATGTCAGGGTAAAAGATAAGAATTTGGTTAGCAATAAAATCCAATGATTGCTTTTCTTTAGTCACTAAAAATAAAAATTTTCATTAAATGAAACAAATTCAAAGTTAACTCACAATCTTTAACTTTGTTGATGACACTGTCGAGTTGAAACAAAAAAGTTTCCGCCATTTTACAAACACCTAAAAGGGTGTTAGACTTAAATGTAGTAATGTGAAGCATTTTAATAGTACATTCCGATAAATTAGTACTATCTTGAAATGTTGAGTCAAACTGAACATTATTACATTTAATCCACATTGCAAATAAAATGTAAATAGGGCTGCGTTTGGTGATTTTTAGTTTGCGATAAATTGAAATAATGTTGCCAATAGATTTCAAAGTGTTGCAAATAACATCAGGTTTAGTCACCTTGGATCTTAAGTTAGTAGCACACGAATATTCTAGGCTAGTCATTGTTTTTAAGTGTATGTTTGTTCAAATAAAATAAATTATATTTCAAAAATGCAAAGTTCACAAAACAAAACGTTTACGATGATGTCGCTAGAGTGGAAAACAGCAAATGAACAGAAGATAAATTGACAACCCCTGCTTGATTACCTTAACATAACATTTAGTCAATAATGAGTTCAAGTGTCACTGGTGTTTGCACTGATTAAGGGCAACAGCCATTTTGAATTTGGTAGTAGTCATTTAGACATCAACATTGATTACTGTTCACTAAAACAAAGTGAATATTTTTTATTTTGACAATAATTAAGTTATCTAGTGAAACATTTACAACTATTGTTAAACAACACAAAACATGATTTATTATTGCACAGTGTCAAGTTACACAACTTGTTTGTCAAAATTCTATTGATTTTTGAAATACTTTTGTTTTTGACTTTTCCAATTAATTTGTTGCAAATGCAAGCCTAAATATAACAAACAATTTTAATTTGTCAAATAAAATGAAACTCAATTAAAAAAACTTTTACAAAAGTTTTTTATTTTTATTTAGTTTTCTGCTTAATAGATGTCGCTTAATNTGCACAGTGTCAAGTTACACAACTTGTTTGTCAAAATTCTATTGATTTTTGAAATACTTTTGTTTTTGACTTTTCCAATTAATTTGTTGCAAATGCAAGCCTAAATATAACAAACAATTTTAATTTGTCAAATAAAATGAAACTCAATTAAAAAAACTTTTACAAAAGTTTTTTATTTTTATTTAGTTTTCTGCTTAATAGATGTCGCTTAATCTGCTTAACTAAAAAATTTTATTTTAAACATGATTTTGTGCCTTTATTGTTTTAAAACTTTTTATTTTGAAACAACTTTTAAAAACTTCAAGTTATTTAACAAAAGTTTATGAATATAAAATTACGTAGTTTTAAATTCACTTTAACATTAACAATAATTTGTTTAAAACTCATACTCCGAAACAACAACATTAATAAAGGCTTTTGTTGAACCTGCAAACAGCGCCTCATTGTACAAACTGACAGTAAGCACCAGTTCAATATCTTGTGGACCTTCAATTGGCTTTGTCAGCGAGACGATAATTTGGTCGTAGCTTGGTCGTCGAAGAAGAAAGTGCTCTCTGGTTGCAGGAGGAACGCCGTATCGGTGTGGCTTGGCGCTGGTCACATTCAACTCAAACTTAATTGCAGTGATTGAGAAGACAGGACCACTCATGGCCAGCAAATCCAGATGACCACTGCTTGGTATGCGGACATTGGAGACTATGCCCAGGTAGTTGTAAGAATAGGAAAGTGGAAGGTTGATGTCGTAGTTCTCCGAGGGATTCTTTGGAGCGTGTCGAATGCACCTAAAATGAACAGTGAAAAGAAAACTTTAGTTTTCCAGCCTACTGTTTTAAAGTTTCACCTACTTTTTCGATCTAGCGTCGAGGTAGTAGTCATCCGGACAGTTGATGACATTGCACCGATAGCTGCCGTGCACATTGAGGCAGTACTCATTCTGCCCGCGGCACAGCTCCCCGCTCTCGCACTCGTCAATGTCCTTGCAGATGCGACCCTCCGACAGTGACTCGTAGCCGGGTGGACAGGTGCACTGAAAGGAGCCAGGCTGGTTGATGCACTTGTGGTAGCACACCTGCGCATCGCCGGATAATGCTGTTCGATTGTTCGATTCCTTAGAATCACTGCTTTTCGGCTTGCCCAGCGTCTCACACTCGTTGATGTCCACACAGGTAAAGCCGTCGGCGGCCAGCTGGAAGCCCGACTTGCAGGCGCACTTGTAGGAGCCGGCGTAGTTCAGACAGAGGTGCTCACACCGGTGATGGTAGCCACCGCTGCTGCTGCTGCTGTCGCACTCATCCTGGTCGACGCACCGAAGGACGCCAGTGCCCGGGCCAGAACCAAAATGTGCCCTCTCTTCTCGGAAACCCGCCTTGCACTGGCACCGGAAGGAGCCAGGCGTGTTGATGCACAGCTGGTGCTCTCCGCAGACGTTCACCTCCTGACCATCCGAACTGCTGCACTCGTCCACGTCCTCGCNTCGCACTCATCCTGGTCGACGCATCGAAGGGCGCCAGTGCCCGGGCCAGAGCCAAAATGCGCCCTCTCTTCTCGGAAACCCGCCTTGCACTGGCACCGAAAGGAGCCAGGCGTGTTGATGCACAGCTGGTGCTCTCCGCAGACGCTCACCTCCTGACCATCCGAGCTGATGCACTCGTCCACGTCCTCGCACTGTCCACTTCCGCCCTGGTCAGCCGATCCGAGGTAGCCGGGTGGACACTGGCAGGTGTAGCCGCCTGGTCGGTTCTTGCACACCTGCCCGGCCGGACAGCGGTAGGTGCCCAGGGCGCACTCGTCCACGTCCTCGCAGGACTGCCCAAAGTTGACCTTCTGGTAGCCGGCGGTGCAGCGAATGGAGCACCGGTAGCTGCCAATGGTGTTGGTGCACTTCTCCGCGGAGGAGCAGGGCGAGTACTGCAGGCACTCGTTCAGGTCCTGGCACCGTCGCTCGGTGGAGTTGTAGAAGAAACCGGTGCTGCAGCTTACCGTTCGACACTCGCCGTCGATGATGCGCTCGCCTGACTCGCAGCGCACTTGCCGTGATTTACCTGTCTGGTCGCCTCCCAGCTCGAATTCGCCACCACCAGATTTTCCCACACATGTCTTTTTGGTTGAATCATAGATTTGTCCTCTGTCACACTTTTCCTCAGAATAAAGGCCTATTTGAGAACGTTCATTGAGAGTTGAGCTGCTGCTGACAAAATCGGGTTGCCGAGGCAGGCACTCAAATGAGCCGACAGTGTTGACGCACTTCAGTGTTCCAAAGCAGTTGTGCAGTCCGCCGGTGCACTCGTTGACGTCTTCACAGAAGTGAGAATCATTGGCGGGTTTGATGAAGCCAGTCTGCATTCATTGTGTTTTCGTGAGCAGAATACAAAAAAAGAATAGTGTTAAAAACAATAAAACTGTTAAAAAGTTTAAATGAAAATATTCCCACATCCCAAAATGCATTACCTTACAGTGGCAGACATAGCTGCCAATGGTGTTCTGGCAGTAGGCGTTCTCTGAACAGGGAGGCAGCAAACCACTATTGCACTCGTCACTGTCCTCACAGATGTTCAACTCTTCATTTCGTTCATAGCCACTTGGGCATAGCTTTTGGGTGAATCGCAAACTGCTCAGCCGTGCAGAACTCTGCTTGTCATTCTCTTCTGCTCCTGTTCCAGCATCACCACTGTCACCACCGCCACTGCCTTTTCCCTCCCCCAGCACCAGCGGAACACACCGGTACGTTCCGGGGAAGTTGATGCACCGCTCCCGTGACAGGTCACAGTCGTGCTGCCCAATGCGACACTCATTCGTGTCCTCACAGGTGTAGCTGAAACGCACAAAGTGGTAGCCCTTGGCGCAGTTTGTCAGGTTGCTGTTGCTGCTGTTTTCGGTTTCCACCATTGAGGATCGGGTAGTGCTGCTGCTTCCGCTGTCTGTCCTGAGCCTCACCTTCTCCTCGCACGTATAGGAGCCGATGAAGTTCTCACACTGCTCCCGTCGATCACAGTCGTAGGTGCCCTCGGCGCACTCGTCCACGTCGGTGCAGTTCAGTGGGGAGCCAGCGGATGAGGTCGGTCTGAATCCGCTGGGACACCCCTGCTGCTGGCCAATGTCCAGACAGACGTAGGCGCCCAGAAGATTACGGCACACTTGACGGCTCAGGTTGCACTCGTGCAGCGAGTGGCGACACTCGTCGATGTCTGGTCAACAGCAACAACAAACAAACAAACAAACAAGTGTTGTGTACAGTACTCATTAGAATTCAAGTAAATAGATGACATGTTTACTGCTGGCACTGATGATGTTTGTCTGCACTTACGTGAGAAAACATCATTTCAAAATAAACGTTAAGTTACTTGACATGGATACTGTTGGAAAGGTTTTTCAAAATAAAAGCATACGTGTTTTGGCGTTTTAATCGTAACTTAACGGTTTCCAAAAAATCGGGCTTTAAAGTTGACTTTTTTAAATAAACTTGTCTTTACTGTCACTGCGATTCTTGTTTTGATTGTTTTTCGGTATCGATTGTTTTTGCCTTAGAAACATCTAAGAAAACATAAAAAATTCCATTTTGAGGCCCAATTACTTGAGAGCTGCTAAGTTATGCAAAAAAACGCAAAAACACGTATATTTTCATTTTAAAAGACTTTTCTAACGATACCCATGTCAAGTGGATTAGCGTTAAAATGTGTAATGATGTTCTTTGCTTATGCAGAAAAAAGTTTGTTATCATTTCCTTCTTTCTTACCTTTACATCTGCCCTCAGTGGCGTTGAAGTAGTATCCGGGAGAACACTTCTGACCACTATCACCGCTGGTGGGAAAAAGCTCTGAGGCGAGGGGCGTCTTGCGGGCGACACACTGAAAGCCGCCGTCGGTGTTGTGGCACACCTCGTAGTTGGGGTCGCAGTTGTGCGTCAGCTGGGCGCACTCGTCTGCGTCCACACAGGAGCGCCCATCCTCGGCCAGGCGGTAGCCCTCGTAGCAGGAGCACTGCACCCGGCTCCGCCCGTCCTCGGAGACGGCCTCGTGACAGCGGTGGGCGCAGGGCGCCGGCTTCAGCTCACACCAGCGAATGTTTCGGTGAATGGCGAGCAGCGACTGGCGGCAGCACTCCCGGAAGCCGAGAGACTCGCTCACCGTCTGGCCGACGGCGTGGGCGGTGCCGCTGGGCGTGCACCAGTCAGTTCCGTTGTCAGTGCCATTGCCGGCCGCCACCGTCTCCAGACTGCTGACCAGCGTCTGGATGGGCAGCTCGCCGTTCAGCTTCGCCAGCCGACTCACCGCCCACAGCAGACCGAGGTTGCAGCCCAGGCAGCAGAGGGCGTCGCTGTTCCGCTTCAGGTCGCAGGAGTAGACGGAGGTGAGCAGCTCGGAGAGGTGGCTGGCGTTGGCGTCGATGCGCACGCGGTTGTGATTCTGCAGGAGGGCAGTGCCCAGCAGGCTGTCCACCGGCTCCTGGGCCATCATCTCGCGGGCCACCCGTTTGCACAGCTTCGCCTGTTGCCCCTGCAGGCAGCACATCTTGGCGGTCAGTTGGCAGGAGAAGTGGTCACTTGAATGCTGCTGTTGAGGGCCAGTTGTGCTAGCAGTTGTGGTCACTTTTGACACCGCCGAGGTGACATTCAGCGTCAGACAGTGACCGGCGGAGGCGCCCTGCACTTGGCCCACTTTGCAGCAGGCATTTTCTGGGCAGTTTGGTACAACAGTGTTGTTGTCGGCACAAGTGTTTGTGCATGAAGTGTGAGTGCGTGTGAGAGAGAGAGTGTGTGTGATTTACCGCCAATGCAAACAATAAAATTGTGGGGTAAAGTGGAGAGGGGGGGTGAAACAAAACAAACAAAAGTGATTAGCCAATTGAAATGGACTGGTAGAAAAAGAAGAGGAATATAAATAAACGGCAAATTGTTGTAGACAGAGACAGAGCGAGTGAACTGTGGGTAAACAGCTGAAGGCGACGTTTACCAGTGACATGGAGAGAGGTTAGAGGGCAAATTACACATTGTCACAGGCGTCTCTTTGTCTTTCTGTATGGACAGTGCCGGTGACATCAGTCAACAACAGTCAACAGCTGCTGACAACATTGCTGTTCTTGTTTACTGGAGCCTGACTGATACTTGAACACTTTCTCTTGTGACGCAAGTTAGCAATCATTTCCGATTCAAAAATGCTAGTTCAGAAGCTGAACTTGAAGAATGAAAAAGCAGTCGATTGACGTGTATCAAAAGTGCATTGGTTGTGTTTTTCACTCTATAACTTACCATTTTCCAAAGCAAAAACAAATTTTGAAAAATTAGTAAACAACAGCAAGACACTTAAGAGAATCACATTTTGCAGAGCCATTATAAACACAAAAACTATTTTGAAACAGTTCATTTTTGTTATTAAACCGACATTCTATCATGTAGCTGCAACCAATTTTTGATTTTTTATCAATCATAATTTGTTTTTATATACGCAATTTCTTTTTTTGTTATTCAACTTTTTTTGTCATTTGACCATGGCTCGACACTTGGCAACATCATTGTACCAATTGGCTTACTCAGTTTAAAAAAATCAAATGTCAAACAGTTTGATTGCTACTAATTTGATTAGTATTAATCAAATAATGTTCTTCAATTGACCGTTGGATTGTGGTCATGACTGACAACAGCAAACACATCATCATCTATTGCTCACCACAAGGACGCAGGCTTTAATTGAAACAAACATCAAGGAAGGACATGGCATTTTTAATGTTGTTTTCCCTAAAAAAATTCCAAGAAAAGTACGGATTGCAATGTTTCATAAATTTAACACAAAATTAAGTTTTTTTAAAACTCATAACAAAATGGGACAGATAACTGTCAATTTTTCAAATGATATTTGTACAAAAAAAGGCAGTTGCCATTAAATGGTATAACTCATGTCCATCTAAATGTAGTTGTGTGCGGTTTTAATGTGTGGTGTTTGTTCCGTTGCAGCCTCATTCTGTTTGCTGTTGTTATTGTCGTTGTTGTTGTTGTTGAGCCTCTGTCGTAGCTGTCGTTGTCAGTCTGCTGTCTCCTCACTGCCGCCTATCATCAGGCAGCAATCAATCAGCGCCGTCAGTTGCCTTGCAATCTGAAGCCCGGTCACAAGGCACACACACACACTCTGCTAACATCTCCTGAGCGTTTAGCAGTTGCACAGAGCAGCACTGCAATTGAATTGGCCCATCAGCAGACCTATCAAACTGGGGACACACAGACGGCCGATTGATTTGATGGAGCGAAAGCGAGCGAACCATCATCGGTTCAACTCACTCAACCAGAACTTTTAACGCCAGCTGAGTCAAAGAAGAGAAAGAATGAAAGTGTGTGTGTGTGAACTGAGACTGTCAAAGTAAAATTTTTGCTCAAAAACTAAAGGAAAGTGTATTGAAATAAAATGAAAAATAACTAAAAATTGTTCCAGTGCACTCAATGGTGCAGCAAATCATTTGTCAATCAGCAGAAACTAAACTTTTAAGTACTGTCATAAAAAGGGGGCCTGTCAAGAATAAAATAAATGTTAAAAAACTGAGAAAACGAGTGCAAAACTATTCATGCTATTTGAGAGAAGAACCTTATCCAATTAGAAAGTGCTTTCAATTTTCAGCTGATAATGGGCTCATTTTTTATGGGGTGAGAAGCGGTAAGAGAAGTGAAACTGCCAGAAAATGTCAGAGGCTGCCGTCAACGTCTCTTTGGGGACTTTCAGCAGCCTCTGCCTGCAAATCACTGCAAAACGGGGAACAAACAAAATGTTGTGATGCCTGCACATGGGCAGAGATTTAAATCAATTTGAAAATGGCAGTCAATTTGCGGTTAAAGAGGAAACGGTGTTATTGTTTGTTTTTCCTTCACTGGTGCAGCAGTGGGAGAAGCAGTGCTGCTGCTGGGAGCACTGTATCAAACCTTAACTGGGCGCCTGGTTTGGTAATGTGTGCTGATGCTGCGCCAATTACGGTGAATTGGCGCAGCATCAGCAGTGATGCATTTGGCTGCGTGACAGTGTTGCTAAATTGAATTAACTGCCTGCCTGACACTTTGCTGGCATTCATTTACCCCCTTTCAGAGCACTGATGTTTAGCTGGAAAATGTTCTCCATTCAGCGCAAAAGAGATGTCCACCGACGGAAGCAGCCAACTAGATTAGTACTTTTAAACGGGTAATGGCTTTTGCAGGCTTTCAAACTTTAGACAACTTTTTGAGATGGTGGTGGGCTTTTCTTGCAAGCTTGCAGCTAAACAAAAATAAGGAGGTTTTAAAGTGAATGACAGTAATGCAAAAGTTTTGTACAATTTATTTGCGTTTTTGGTTGCTTACTGCTGCAAGAATGGTACACCGACACAGTGGCAGACATAGTGCTTTTCAATGAATTTCATGACAGGCAATTAAAGTTAGCTAAAAGATGCATAAAAGTGAAAAACGTGTACAAAAGTTGTGTTGTGCAAAAGTGTGTGGTTTCATCAAGTCAAAAAGTGAATGCTTTTCCGTTTTGTTGAGTTTTTGAGATGTTTGCCACTGTATTTATGCGTTTCAATTCAATTAAGCAAGAATCTGAAACGGCAACATTATTTTATTTTTTCATTTTTAAGCAATGACGTTAGAATTTAAATAACATTAAATGAGTTTTAGAGGAAAACTTTTCCTCTTCTCCTTTAGGTTTCTCATCTCCAAGCGAAAAGCAAGGAAATGAAATTGTTCAGTGTTCCCAGTCCTTTCTTTTGTGTCAGTAGTTTCTGTTGGCAGGTTTCTGGATGGGGATGGGGGATCCAGCAAAGGATACACCAACAAAGCAGACTTCTGGTAAAGCATTCATTAGTGTGTTTGAGTGGCGTAATCGGCGTCAAAGAGAATGGAGCAGCAATGGGAAAAGAGAGAGAGAGAGAGAGAGAGA